CTAGTAACTTGTAGGTTACTAGACGCTTTATTTATTTTAATTCCACTGTCTAGTAACTTGTAGGTTACTAGACGCTTTATTTATTTTAATTCCACCGTCTAGTAACTTGTAGGTTACTAGACGCTTTATTTATTTTAATTCCACTATTTAGTAACTTGTAGGTTACTAGATGCTTTATTTATTTTAATTCTACTATCTAGTAACTTGTAGGTTACTAGACGCCTTAATTATTATTATTTGCTATTTTCTTTTCCTGATTTTGTGGCCTGCTATTTGAAACAGGTTTGCTTTTTTAGAATTTATATTCTAGATTTTTAAACAACTTTTTTACGCAATAAAAACTATAAAAAAAAAACTACTACTTCCTAAGCATTTTGTTTCTGTCCCTTTTGCCGACTTGCTTAGTTTAAGCAGTTAGCTCCTCTAATTTAAGTAGCTAATACTGCTTATATTAAGTAAGTAACTTTTTTAGTTTAAGTAGGTGCCTAAAACGCTTTAAGAGTTTAAGTAGGCATTTTTTTACCTAGTTTAAGGGGTTGGGGCTTTAAACCTATAATACTTTCCCTTTTTTTTGCTGCAAACTTTGCTGCTTTTTAACAAATAAAAAGAGTTATATATTTTATATTTAACTAAGCTAGCGGCGGGCTTATATTTAGTAGCTTGTAATAATAAAGCTACTTAACTACTTATATAATTTAGCTAAATAACTAAGTCGTCTGCAAAAGATTTAATCCTATATACTATATAATTACAATACGCCGGCTAGCAGCTTTAACTTTAATAAAACTGCTAATGCCAGCTTAGTAAAGTTTTAGGCCAAAAGCTTATTTGTATTTAATTAGTATAAGCAGAAATTACTCTATTTTAGTATAAATTCTAATTTAGAGGCGTTTAGCTATAATTTAGCAAATAGTAGCTTTGCAGCAATGCCTAGTTAAATAGCTGCAAAAACTAATTATTTAAAACTGCAGTTCCTTTTGTACTAAGCAGTATTATTATTAGGGCAAAGTTATTAGTAGGGTAAAATTAACCTGTTTTATAACAGTCTAAACCTAGCTTATATTTTCTATTAGTAGGTAAACAATTTAATGCTTACCAAATTCTGCTTTAGTATAATAGGAAGAGCTAATATTAAAAAATTAAAAAGCAATATTGCTATAAACGCTTAGCTACTATAAACTAGTTATTTTTGTAGTAATTTTTTTAGCACTTTTAGCTTTAAATTTTGAGGGACTAAAGGATCGATAGGCTACACTTTTATAATTTGTATTTATACTAAAAATTAAAATTAAGAGGACTTTTGCCTTTTTGCTCTACTAGAAATTTCTATTTTTTATAAGTCCCCTTTAGGACACTTGTATTATAGTTTAACAAATGTGCTGCCCTAACTAAACTTTTTACTTAATAATATTTTTAACCTAGATTAGCCTATAAAGGACTTTAATGCTAGAAGTTAAGTAGTAAAGCCTAGTTCTACTTTATTAAATAAGTAAAAAAACTATAAAAGTAGTGGTATTTTACTAGCGCCAAAGCTCTTACTTATTCTATACTTTTTATATCTTTTCACAATGTCAAACTAAAGTTAAGCTTAATAGGGTTTTTTTTTTCTGCTAATTTAGCTAAGCCTGTTCCCTTAGCTGTAGTTTTACTAAATAGTAAATAGAAATAGTAGGAATTTTATTAATTTATTTATGCGTATTACTAATTAAATAATAAAGTATTTAGCTACTTTAAAAAAGTTATAGTTACTCCTGCTATTTACCCGCGTTTGGTTGAATTTCTTCGCTTTAATATTTAGAGTACTAGGCAGAAATTATATTATATTAATACTATTTTCTGGCTATTATAATGCTATATTTTAATTAAATAGTTAGATTCCTTTTATTTATACTAGTTTTAAGTTAATTGTTAAACGCATGCTAAATAGCTAAAACCTGCTAAAAGTGCTTGCATTCTAGTGCTAAAAAGCGCCTACTTTGCAGCTAGTGCTTTTCTGCGCTAGAAGTTTTTCCCCAAAGCCTAATATACTTAATTTTTAGAGCTAATCCTTTTTTTAAAGTTATAAATTTATTTTGCTAACTTCTTTTATTTACATTGTTTTATTAACTAGAGGCTTTTTATTTTAGAGACCTGCTACAGTTATAAGTACAACCTAGTATAAAAACTATTTTTTTAAGTAGATTTTTAAAGCTTATTAAGAGCGCACTAAACGCTGCAAAAGTACAGCGCTTTTTTAGCTATTAAACTTTAGCTCTAGACAAACTAATTTTAGGGTTATAAACTGTTAAAAAAAAAAGAGAACTTTTTTTAAAGCTTTTGCTAAAGTCTCTGCTTTTAGTTGCGTTGCTGCAAAAAATTTATATCTAAGTACTAGAATATTAACTAGCTTCCCTTTTAAAGGCGCGGCGCAAGCGCTAATATTAAAATAGAATTATTTTATTTTTTAAAATTAACTAACCTGTATCTAACTACTATTTATATAGAATTTTTCCTTACTTTAATTTTTAAAGTTTTTATTTAAGTATTTGCTACTACTACTAAGATCTGCACTAAAAGCTATTTAATTTAGAGTTACCCCTAAAGCTTTATTATAAGCTTCTACGCCTACCTACTTACTAGGGCTTAAATCTTGCCCTAGTAGCAGAGTATAAGTAACATGCTTAAGCGCTATTTATTTTTAGAGCTAGTTTATTTAGCAGGTAAGTTATTATATACTTTTTAGTAGATTTTAACTTCTATAGCTACTGTCCTACTGTTTAGATAAACTAACACTTTTTGTAGTATCTAATAAGTATATATTCTAGCATTTTAACCCTGCGTTTGGTTTATTTTGCATTACTAGTTCTGCTTACTAAAAATAGCTTACTAGTAATAGTATATTTAAGTATTTATATTTAATTAAGTAATAAGGACTTTTTACATATTTAAAATTTAAGAATAAGTAAAAGTTGTTTTAACTTCTAAGCCTTTAATTATTCGCTTTACCTTATAAAACTAAATATATTACTACTATTTTAAAAAAATTTTTAGCAGGAACTAGCTACTAAATAGTTTAATTAGTTTTTCGCCTCTATACTTAAATTTAACAATTAATTTATACGTTAGAACTGCTGCAAACTTTTACTAGAATTTTTTTTAGCTTTACTCTATTCAAATATAGTTTACTATTTTTTAAGTTTTAACAGCTATGCTCTTACTTAAATCTATTTAAAAATATTAGGATTAGTTAATAGTGTACCCTAAAAAGGATTTTACTTCTATTTACTTTTATTACGCATTTGGGCTTAATACCCAAATACTTGTATAAATATTAGACTTTTTAGTTTGTATTTTAAAACAGGCTGCTTATAGCTATTATACTAGCATCCTAGCAAATGCGCGGACTTTAGTCTAGGCTAGTTGTATATTACTTTTTTTATAAAGCTTCCCTAAAAAAAAGTATATAATAGAAGCTTTTATCTAACTACTTAAACTAATACTAGCTTGCTTGCAAAAAAGTGCACTAAGTAAAAGCTTAAATAAGCAACTATAGGCAAGTTTAGCTGCAAGCGCTTTTTTTTTAATAATTTTACGTACTATTTAATTCTTTTTCTAAAGTGCTTTTTATTTTTTAATTACTCTACTTGTGCGCTATTAGTTTCTAGCCAGTATTTAGCTTTAAAAAAAATTTACTTTTTATTTAAAACTATATTCCTAAATAATTTAACTTGTTAAAAGGGCTTTATATAGCAAAGGTTAGTAACTATATATAGGATTTTTACCCTTTATAACGTCCTATTCTAAGGAACTTAGACTACTACTAATACTAAAGCGCTTTCTGCAAATTACAACTTAGATTCTAAAAGAGCTAGATTTTAAATTTAAGCTAATGCCGCTTTACTTGCTGTTACTAGGGCAATTTTTATTAGTTTTTTTTTTTCTATTTATTAATATGCTTAAGTTTAGCAGGTATTTCTACTTAATTTAAAGTTAAAAGCAAAAGTATAAGCTTTATAGATGCAAGCATTTAAGCTAAAAAACGCAAAATATGCTACGCTCTAAAGCAAGTATGCTAGCTGCTAATTGCTTTAAAGTAAGTCCTGCGCATAAAATAGGGACAAATACCTAATACTAAGTAGAGCTTAAAGGTATAAATAATACTTAAATAAGCATGCCCTATAAAATACTAAAAAGTATAATGTGCGTTTAAAAATTTAATAATTTACTAAATTCTGCAATTTATACTACTTTTTGCATTTTGCTGCGTTTTTTATTAATGCTAGAACTAAAAGATCTATTGTTAAAAGTTGTAATTATTATATATTTTCTAATACTAATTGCAATTACAAAAAGTTTTTATAGTATTCTATTAGCAGGCAGAGCCTGCTGAGGAAATAAATAGTATACAAAAAATAAAAGTTTAAATAGAGACTAAAGTTTCTCTAAAAATTAGTAATAATCTTTCCGCAAGTTTACTTATAGAAACTTTATTATAACTTTTACTTTTTTTAAATAACTAAATTTAACAAACTTTTTAATTTAGAGTAGTTATTGCTAACTTCCTTAAGCTAGTCCGAAGGCCTTACTAAGCTATTTAATTAGTAGTAGTAATAAGCAGTATATATAAAGGGCAGAAATATAATTAATATATACTAATAACACGCGCTTACTAGGCATTTTTTATTAAAAAGTAATAATTGCAATACTCTATCCCTAGCACAATAAAATTTAATAAGATTACCTAAATTTTTTAGCTAAAGTAAAGAATTTATTAGCTCTATTAGTATAGCGCGTGTGCGGCCTAGAATATCTAAAAGTATTATAAACTTATTATTGCTTTAAACTTTTATTGGCTTAAGCTAATAGTTTTTTTAAAAAGCTAGCAACTAGCTAAAGCTAGCTTAGCTATTTAGCAAGTTAAAATTTTATTTATTATTATAATTAAGTAGACAAATTACTCTACTAACTAAAAATAGCTATGTACTACTACCTAAAAAATCAAAAAAAAGCTCTTAATCTGTTAATTTTTATTTTATCTAAACTTAGTAAGTTTCCCTATATTAAGTTAAATTAAGCTATAGGCTCTACGCTTAGTAGTGCTTTTCTGTTAATTTTTTTAAGTTTTAGCCTTGCAACTATACTCCCCCTAAAACTCAAAAACTTTAATTTCTTATAAAGTACTAAGCGAGTCAAAAAAAAAAATATTGCTTAATTTCTAGTTAGTATAGTTTACAGTTAAAACTATAATAGTATCTAATTATCTTTAATTCCCTAACTTTTATTTACTAATTAATAAAAACATTTTTAGTAAATGTTTTTGTAGTAGTTAGTTTTTAATAAATCCAAAAATTTTACTTCTAACAATTAAATACTAATGCCCCCAACTATTTTTATTAATTATTATAGTAGTCCTAAAAACTAACAAAATAGAACTGCATATTCTATTTTATTATTTTATGCTAATATATTTGAGCAAAAGCCTGCTTTAAATATTTTAATTTTTTTAAAGTAAAAGTTCTAGTCCCTAATATACCTAGTAAAAGGCATAAAGTTTTCTAAAAAGAAGGCCTAGCTAAATAAGTATATACAGTAAAGTAAACCTGCTAGCTAGACCTAAGTTTTAACTATAAGCTTTTTAACTGCAATAACTTTAATATATGCTATTAGAGCTAGAATTACCGCAGCTACTAGTACTAGACTTGCCTTCTAATTATTCTTTATTAAAAAGTTTAAATTATACTTATTTTAATTATAAAACCCAAAAGAGCCCTGTATTAGTATTTATTATTACTACTTTTCTATATTAGGATTAGGTAATTTGCGCGCCTACTATTTTTTTTAAATATAGTAGCTATTTTTTAGGCTTTTTTTCTAGAATTAAACTCTAATTCCCTATTACTTATTAAAACTATAGTAAGCTAATACTTTACTATTAAAAGTTAATAAAGTAGAAATTTAAATAAACTGTTGCCAGCGCAAGGCTATATAATCTATAAAGTTATTATAAATTACTAAAAAGCTCTAAAGGGCGTTAGTTTTTTATTTAATAAATATACTTTTTTTAAAGTTAGGGTTTTTAGCATGTATTAGCTCTAGAATTACTATAGTTATTTAAGTAGTAAAGTACTATTAAATAAATAATAACTAATTTAATAAGCTATTCGCAGTTTTATAGTATAATTGCTTATATTTAAATATATATAGCTTAATTTTTAAAACAAGCATATAACTATTAGCAGAATTAACTAGGTAACAATCCTACACCTAGGCGCACAAAGCACGCAGGCACAAATTTTCTAGAAAAAGCAAAAAATACTAAGTAGGTAGCTGCACAAAGCAGTGCTAGCTGCTTACTATAAAAGTATATAGGGCACTAATACTATAAGCAACTAATTTAGTTGCTTTTACTAAATTTTTTAAAGTGCAGTCTAAAATAAGGTATTACTAGTATTGCTGCTAAAAAAGACCCGCACTATATGCACTTTAGGAAAAAAAAACTTATAATTACTTTATTACGCACGCAAGCGCAGATATTTAGTAAAAATATTTTTAGAAATTTAATAAATAATTAGCAAAGCTAGCTATCTACAAACCCTAAATAGTGCTTATTTGTAAAAATAAATAGGACTTTAGGTATTAACTGCAAAAACAAGTGCAGCGCTAAGGCGTTACTTTGTAATATAGGCTTTAGCTAACTTAATTAAGCAAAAAACAGCTGCTTAGCTTCTAATATTGTGCTAACTAGAATAAATATTGCTAGCTAATATTTAGGAAATAGGGCGTGCAAATATAAAACTATAAATACGCAAACTGCCTACTAACAATGCCTAAGCTATTACTAAAAAGTAGTAGAGAATAAATGCAGGCAAAATAGTTTTTAAGCTACTTTTCTTATACTATGCACTTTACTAATAGCTAGCCTTTAAGTATAAAAAGCTTTTAAAAGCCTTTTTTATGTGCAAAACTAATAAGTACTAGTACGCTTATTAATAAAGCACTTTATAGCAAGTAAATTAACCTAATTAAAAGCCTATTATTGCTACTATAAGGAAAGAAAAATAGGCAGAGGGACTAGCATGCCAGCTCTATTTTTAGGTAGAAGCTTATTTTATACTCTACTACTAACTATTATTTATGCTTTAACGCCCTTAAAGCTTACTGCAAATAGTAGTAGACAAAATAGTTATGTTTTTAAAAACCTTAACTGCCCTCTTTATATAGTATATAAAAGTAATTAACTCCAGTTTTTGCGTTGCAGGGTAGATATAGCAGAAAATATATTAGAGTTTAAATTTTTACTAGTAAAATCGCAGAGACATACGCAGCGCTATATAAACTATAAACTTATATTTGCTAATTTACGCAATATAGTTGTTTT